ATATCTTGTCTTTCCCAGAGTGCTGAACACTTGAGTTTCTTAAAGAAACTAAATTTTATTCACCGCAGCTTTCACAGGCCTAGCATTGTTTCAGCCCTTAAAACAGAAAAGCAAATGTTGCGCCAGAGAATCCACTCCAAGGGTCATTGTGTCTGCTCCCGAGTTTGATCCTCAGAATCCACAGGGAGGAAGAAAGGAGACAATCAACTCCCACAGCTTATCCTGTGACTTCTGAACATGCAGTATGGTACACACACGTACACACAGCAGAAAGGTAATATGTGTTAAACATTTTCAAGTTAAATACCACACAGAAGAGAAATCACGCAGACCGTTTTTCCCCCTTTTATGGAACAATTCTTTTTGAACTCTGTGAATATGTACCATCTGATTGGCTTAACAGAAAGCTGAATGACCAATGGTAAGGCAGGGTTTCCAGGGCAGAAAGAACGCTGGGAAGAAGGGTGGAGTATGAGGAGGCACCCGGGACACAGAACAGGCAGGATGGGCTTTACAAAGTAAAAGTAATCAGACTACATAAAAGAACATAGATTAAAAGATACGGGTTAAGTTAAGCTATAAAAACTAGTTAGAAACTAGCCGAAGCTGTCAACTGAGCATTCACAATTAATAAGAACGCTGTGTATCATGATTTGGGAGCTGGCTGTCAGGACAGAGAGGAACTAGATACATCATTATTAAGCTTTCTGTGGGGGAACTTTTCAGCCTTTAAGAAATTTCCCTATTTTAGAGATATTTTTTCCAATTCCAAATGAAAATTAAATGATCATAAATTAAGTTACAGAACGATTCCCCCTTCCCCCCCCCGTGTCCTCCCTTTTTAAAGGGAGATACTTCTATAGTTGAAATACAGAATCCACATTTTTAATCATGTGTTGCTAGAAAAGGCGTAGACCTGCATATGCTAGTCTTACTGCTTTGTGTCTCTGTGGTGTATGCATATGCAAATTCATGTATGTGCACATGTTCGTGTACATACATACTACTTTGTCTGTGTGTATGTATTCCTGTACTGATGTACAAATATGTATGGAAGCCAGGGGACACTGGGTGTCCTCTAGTACTCTCCTCATTATTTATTGCTGTTACTATCAAGAAACCTTGGAATGGTCTTCCAATTTCATGAAACAATAACTGCGAGTCTCTTCTTTTGGGGGGTGTTGATATTTAAATACATGTGCAGAGGTCAGAGTACAGCATAAGGGTGCCAGTTCTACACTGTGGATTTCAAGACTCTTACTCAGATTCTCGAGTTTGGTGGAAAGCGTTTTTATCTACTCAGCCACGTTGCTGGACCTTCTTTAAAGATAGTTCTCATATTCAGCTAAAGGGGCAAATTCACCAACTCCATGGAACTGCCTATTCCTGCTTCCCCAGCATTGAGATTATAAGAGTGCTGCAACGTCTTGCCTGAATTTATATATAGGTGTTGTATATCTGACTCGGGTCTTCTTGCTGTTGGGGTACGCATTTTACCTTTATTTCATGAGAATTCTCCCCAGCCCTTATTACTACCATTTTAAAAATATTTTGAAATACTTTGGGCCTTCATATTTTGACTTAAAAGTGAAGAGAAAATGGGTCCAGCAGCAGAAGTCTGTCATGCCTGCCAGTGGCGGGGGGGGGGGGGTGGCCGTGGAGGAGCTGAGGCAGAAGGATCCCAAGTTTAAGATCACTATAGAGTGATTTCATAGGAAAGCTTAGTGTTCCTTCTCTCAAAAGAAAAGAAAAAAAGAGGGCCTTGGGCGTAGTTCAGTGGTGGAGTGCCTGTCAAGAATGTATGAAACTCTGGGTTTAATCCCCAGGACTGTGAAGATAATGAAGATAAATAAATCCATACAACAAACACATACTTAAAAACAAAATTGAGTTGATTATTGAATAAATTTGATATACTCCTATAACTCCTTAAATTGAAATGTTGGCAGAGATTGCTTATGGGGAAATGTTCATGATTGACCTCTTTCCTTTCTGTTTTTCTGGGGGGATAAACAGAGTATTGGGTCAAAGCTTTGCATAGGCTTTGTCAGGACATGTCCACACAGCATGCAAGTTCAATGGAAGAGAAGTATCTCCATCTTGGAACCCTTCTGTGGACCACATCTGTGAGCTCCACTTGACTGATGAAGATGAGCTGACTTCCTGCATTGAGGAAGTTTGTCTTGTAAGGACCACAATGACAAGACAATCACCAAGTGCTAATTGTGCATAACCAGTGCTAAAGATATTCAGCCCCTTTACGGCAGGTAATAAATGAAGCAGACATAGAAATGTATTAGGTGCTTCTGTAATGAGGTTGGAATGCTGTTTTGCAGCCATAAGAATGTGAGCAGTTTTTAGAGTCAAAATTTAGGAGCCTTTGTCTTACTTGACTGAGTTCCACTGAGCAGACAGGCTTAATTGTGAATGTAACTTTTTATTTCCATGATGAAATAAAACTGGTCTATGATTTGTAAATAGCATTAACCACCTTCAATTACTTTGTATCATAATGGGATTTAGGCTGAGTTTAGCACTTGAACGATGCTTTCATTTTCAGTGCAGTATGTAGATAAAATATGAAAGCCTGCCCTAGTAGGCAAATGGACATTGGGTATAAAGAGTTCCCAGAGGAGGAAAATCTGAAGGGCTACAAGTCAGCAAATAAACACCAGTTAAAAATTATAATCAGGTAGCAGCTTTCAGCTTTGAAGGTGACAAGACTTTCTTTCTAAATAATAAGCTCCAATGTCAAGGAGGATGTGTGAGATCATGAGTAATTTTGGTGTGGGGAATAATAGGTATGAAGATCATTTGGTCAATATTTAGCCTAAGCTTTCAAATTGTTGTATTCCTTGGCTAACTAATTATCTTCCTATGAACTTGTCCTGCCATAGGTTTGAATATTTGTCCGCTTAAAGAGTCAAGTGAACACAGGTATTCTACCATTGTGGTTAACATACCTTTAACATGTGTACACATACATGTTCACGTGCATATAAGAATGTCTGGATGCATGCGTGGATATTTGTGTTTGTATACATCCATATTCTTTATAAAAAAAATAACATGTGAGCTTGTTAGTTCATTGTAGGCTAAGTGTCACCTTAAACTGGTGTCCTTGTGGATATAAAACATTTGTTTGGAAGAATCAGGACCCATGAAGGTTCCCTATACTAATGCCTAAGCAAGATGTTGAGTTACAGCACACAATATTCTAAACACCTACATTTGTAAGAGACTCTACTGGGCTATAGTTTTAATAGAAATACCAAGCTACTGGGATATTATTTGGACAGGGCAAATTATAAATATAGACAAGTATTTGTTTTTCTATTTTATTGACACAAGAATTGCAGCAATTTGGAGAGATTAAATAACATATTGAAAAGCACAAGGCTAATGATTTAGCTAATACATGGTAGGGCCAGACTTTTAATATGTTTTCAACACAAGCATCATATCCTAATATTTCACAGGGCCTCAGGAAGACACTTTGAGTCAAACAGGACATTCTAGAGAAAGTTACCTAAGTGCAGAACACAAAGCAATATTCATTGATGACACACTATATGGGCATTTTCTCACAGGTACTATACAATTCTTGAAATTCTAGCAAGGGTTTTACAACTTTTAAATACTGCATTTTTTTGCCATAGTTTTGCCATTTTTGTGTTTGTTGATTGCTGTTTGAGACAGGGTCTCATAATGTAGCACCAGCTGTTGTAAAACTTGCTATGTAGACCAGACTCATCTTGAACTCACAGAGATCTGCAATCCTTTGCCTCTGACATACTGAGATTTATTGTGTGACCAGCATGCCTGGCCCTAGTAGGCATATTTATAGTGTTCCAAAATCTGCATTGCCTATGAAAAACAGGGTGTCACCATAGAATAATTTCCATGGGGTGGTATAACTTATGAAAAAAAAAGTACAGGAGTTATTATACTCTTAATTTGAAAGAGTTTTGAAATTGATTAATCAAGTGTTACATATGTAGAAATAGGATGGAGAGAGGTGATGTAGTTAGCTTAAGATTGCACAGCCAGTTTGTAGCAGAAGCCAGGCTACAACTTTGCTTTCTAGACATCTGTGCAATGTTCTTTCCTTTGTTGTCTTTCCAATGCTGGTAATTATTTAAATATTAGCTTTATTTGTCTTCCTTCTCAAAGAGATTGGAGGTAACTGAGAGTGTGTAGAGACCATGCTTAGAATTCCAGAGGAGTCAAGAGAAGTGAGACACACAAACAAGATGAAAACAAACTTCCTGTTATCAATTCTTTGTCTCTAAAAGAGTGACACAACAGGGCAAAGGTAGAGGTAGATGTGAGCGTGTGTGCGCGTGTGCACGTGTGTGTATGTGTGTGTGTACGTGTGTGTACGTGTGTGTGCATGCACATACATATGGCTGCCACAGCACATGTGTAGAAGTCAAGAGGACAGACTCTGGTGTCAGTCTTCACCCTCTGCTTTGTCTGAATGCTTGCTGTTTGCTGGATGTTCCAGGTTAGCTGATTCCAAAGCTCTGGGGTTGGGGGGGTTCTCCCATCTCCCCCCACCACTGTCCCCATCTAGCCACATTTTTCTGTAAGAGGACCAAAGTGACAGGAATGTACTAAGTTGACCATCTTGACAAGACTGCTGAACCCAGGTTCTCAGACTTCTACAGGGCGTGTTTTGCTCACCAACAGTGTTACTGTCCCCGTGCAAAGAGACTTGAACAACAATAACAAGAACCTAAGGATGGGCCTTGAAGTCAGTAGAAGTATTTGTGTCCAGTTGTTGTCACATAACACCTTCTTTTGAAGTTGGTCTAAAAAGCTCTCCCTGCAGTGGTTTGTTTCTGGTATCGAGTGCACATTTGCAGAACCCCAGAATGTTAAGATTAATTGGTCTAACAAAGTGGACTGCGATCATTCCCACCTACTTTAAATCAATACCCAGCCTACTTAGTGGCATCATTTGGGGACGTCAAATTAAGCATACTAAATGTACTCACCTCTGGTTGCAAAGCTGACAGGCAAAGCAGTCCAGGTGGTACACATTATCCTTGGCCCGCATCACCATTTCAAAGGCAGGGATGAGCTTGCTACAGGCAGCGCAGTTTCCCGTTACACCGAACAGCCTAGAACAATAAACATTTCTTTTTTCAACTTAAGGAAACCTGGCTTTACAAACTGAGAAGCTGTTAATCCATGCTTTGAAGCCATCCATCCACACACAATGCCTTATGATGTTCATAGATGAATTTTATCTGAGCAGTATATATATTCTTCTACAATATATCCTCCCTTGACCTCTCCAGATGAAAATTGCAACTCAGTTTAAGAGGAAAGGAAAAGACAAACACATTAGGATGTTTACACATCTGCAACAAACAGCAGTCAAACAGGGTAAATTTGCTCAAAAAAAAACAAAACATAACAAAACAAAAAAAAAAAAAAAAAAAAAAAAGGCTTGTTGGAGTATCAATATAAATGAAGTATAACAGCCCTTAATGATACATAGTAGCATTTTAGTGAAAAAGAACCCCATGTGTCTGATGGGCTCCTCTTTGACATCTAATTACTAAAAGGCTCGCCAGTGACATTAAAGAGCACCTATGAACAAGCCACTTAAGTGATTCTAACATACGGAGGTGTGTGCACATGCTGGCCCTATAGAACAGTTACAGCTGTGATTATGTACTTCAGGTAACACATTACCGTAAATGAGGCTGTGAGCTGTACATAGCCAGTTCAGAGCTAAGTCGAAATATACTATCAGAGCTAACACAATAATCTGGGAAAATGCACACCACACACACATACACACACCACATGCACACACACGCACATGTGTATCTCTTATTTGCTGAAGAGTCCTAGAAATAGTCATTGTAATGTACCAAAAGGGTCTTAACATGGTTCGAGAAGTGTACTGGCAGTATTTAAAACAAGTTTCTTTAAAGTTGTTAATGGTGGTGAGAGTCTATTACGAATAATATTTTGTGTGCAGTGGTTAAGGTCGTTTTTAAAACTAGGGAATGAGCTCAGAGAAAAACAGCCCATCTGCCAGCTTTCTTTTTTCTCCAGCATCAGGCTGACGGGAGAAAAAATATAATGGTTCTCTTGGGAAAGACGAAATTAAAAGCAGTTCGAAACTAATGAATTCAAAGGTGCTATGGAGAAAGCTTGTTTTGGTTATAAAAAAGCACTTTCCAAAGTCTTAGCCTTTCATTTATTGAACTTTAGGATTGCATACAACCACGCCAGAGACTCTTTTTTTTTTTTTTTTTTTTTTTTTTTTTTTAAACTCCAAAGGTCCTCACTTAAGGTGAGCAAATCCATTTTCAATTTGTACCCATTTCCTGCTATGGACCTAATGATGACACTTGGACAGGGTTGTCACAGTGATGCTCAAGAGTCTGACAAAATGTAGCACAGGTTCTCATGTGCCTGTTTTTGTTAGGATCTTTCTTCAAAAACACTAGCCTCTTGAGGATGAAGCAGTACACACCCCCTAAAAGGCTCCCTGGCATTTCTTGGGTACCAGCTACAGAAGCTAAGAGTCTTTGCAACAAGATTAAATTCAAGATGCATAAATACTTCCCTTCCTTAAAGATTGTTTAAAACTTTAAATGCTCATCTTGCTGGATGCACACACATGTATTTCCAGCAGGTAGGAGAATCAGGAGTTCATGGTCAGCCTCACCTACATAGTAAGTTCAAGGCTGGCCTGGGCGATGATATAAGGTAATTTACATAATCTTCATAGTCTCAGTTTGCAATTCATACCTTCAGAAATAGGCTTTCTTTAAAAATTACTTCATGGAACAAGGTAATGTTGTGGGTCTACTCCCAACATCATTAAAAATGAAACCAGCACAAAGTAAAGCTTTGATCTTTTCCCCTATGCTTTTTGATTTTTCTTTCTGTGTGATGCGTTTCATTGTAGGCTCAGGCTGGTCTTGAACTCTCAGTCCTCAGGCTTCAGCCTCCTGAGTGCTGGGATCACAGCTGTCCACCACCATGCCTGGCTTCATCTCATTCTTTTGTGGGCGGAAGTTTCTAGTTCCTTGTATCACGGCACATTTACCTCTGAGTATACTTCATACCATTTCTTCAGAGGTCACACATCACTTACTTGTGTAATTTGTGACTTCTGTTCCCTTGTATTTTTAAGAAATAAAGAAACTCAAAGGGTCCCTATTATATGCATATCGCTATGTTTTTGCATATAAAATCTCACTAATATGAGATAGGGGTATTGTTAAGAATTACCTCACACCCAATAAACACACACACACACACACACACACACACACACACACACACACACACATACACACAATGCCATTTTGAAATTCTGGACATAGTTTCCCCCAATTTCAATTGCTCTTGCTAGCTGAGCATTTATCAGCTACCTGATTAGAATTTGTTTCCACACAAACCATTGATCATCAGCCTATTACTAGGCAAATGACAGTTAATTACCCACTACATTAACCACTGGGACCTGAGACCTGCTTCTGCTGCCATCAGTCAACATGATAAATGTGGCAAGTTCAGTAATGCATGGCCAGCCCTGAGCTGCCTGCTATACTGTGAGCAACCCTCAATCTCACTTCCAGGCCCAGGAAAATCTATGGCAATCTGCATAATTACAAGCTCTGGGTTAATAACAGACAAATGATTTGTTGCATCTAAACAAAGTCCTTGGAATGGTCCTAGTCTCTGGTGGCTTCTGTACAGCATTCTGCCACCAGTACACTTTTCCATGACAATGTGCACAAAACAGTTCTCTGGCGTTATAGCCTTCCAATTTGTTGCCCCCCAATTTATGGATTCTGCATATGTGATTTTTAATCATTAAAGGACTCTTGAAGCAATATTATCTTAATTATTCTCTGCTGTAACCAGGGAATTAGGCTTCAGATAAAATTTTCTTCTTCCGTGCATTTTCCTTGCCTCGCTGGAGGCTCCATCAGTTTCCATCTACACCTGGACTCTGAAATCCTAATGATGAATTATTGCCCCTTTTCCTAGGAGGGCGAACCTTACAAGGGAACATTTTACTGAACTGTCAGCTCACAGACTGAGTGCGGAGATGCGGAAATCTGATCTAATTTACTGCAAAACGATGCATTTGTTAGACTTTTCCCTCAGTTTTTTGTCCAAGGATCAAGAGCTCATTCTGTAGCTGAGCTCATGCTCTTGGTTTTCTCTGGGGGTCATAGGGGTGAACCCCATGATTCTCTGTACAAGGAAATGAAGCAATATTTATATATTTTTTTCAGGCATGTGATGGTACCCTTTGGTAACTATTTTGTCTGGATTCTCAGACAAAAATGTACCCTTTCACACGGCAGTTAAACTTAAGGTATTTCTGTTGAGGGCCTCACTTTCACAATACTCAGGTGTATCTGGGAAATATTCCAGAAGAGCGGCTTAGTTATAAGATCCCTTTAAACAAAAGGTCTTCGTCCCAGGCATCGCTTTGAACCCTCCCTGATGCTGCTCCCTCACTCATTCATGAAGCTGACTGACACTCTTGCTTGTAGTGTTTATGCTGTTTATGCTGCAATGTCACCATCACCATAAGAGAGGGGCCTAGATGCTCTTTATAGTACGCTAGAACAAATGGGCCTTTGTTTAAAAATCTGTCATTGGGAAGTTTAGACCAAAATAAATCATGTTGCACCAGTTTGTGAATTTAAGATGACTAAAAACAGAGAATGACTGGTTTCTTTCACTCATTTTAGAAAATCTTAGAGGCTGTTCAGGCACAGCTGGGGTTAATTGGCCTCCCTATGGGCTAGGTTGTCCCATAATATTTATATTCAAAATAGGCATTAAGCAATATGGCTATCACCCTGTGGATGACATACTATCAAAAGTTAACTTGTCAGACAAAAAGTGACAGGCGTCATGGGCACCACATCCAGGCCTATCACTATTTCTAAACATCCAAAAGATACCTGTATTCCTTGTCTATTCCAATTTTTGCTTTCACTACCTGGTATTGGCAATCTAAAAACAGACAAGATAAAAACCAAACAGACAGCTTTTGTATGGAACAGCTCAGCTTTATCTGCGCACTGGGTGATACCTCCATACAGGGAGATATTCAGGAATTCTGTGAATGCTTAGCTAACGTATGCATGTGTATTTTTTTAAAGTCATCAAGGCAATTCTGCATTTTTATTAAATGTGGGGCAGCTTTGGTGGCATTGCTGTAAATCAGGTGGCTTACAGTATACTCATTTCCAAAGTTCCTGGTAGGTGGGAGCTAGAGAAAACCTCAAGACATATAATCATTTAACATAGCAATAATAAATATGGTTTACGACAGGCATTGGGGAAAACTAGTGCTCATTGTATATGAGTGTCTTTTTATTCACAGCACCAGATGTTTCTATGGATTTTTCAAAACCAGGTCAGTGGCTCACATCACTAAATCAAATTTCCCCAAGCTATGAAAAACAGTATTTGACTCAAATTAATTTATTGTTTGGGAGAAAATACACAAACAAATAGTGTTGCCATAAGCCTCGATTCTGAACAAAGAGAAAAAATTCTCCTCCAGCCAGGTACTTAGCCACACCTGAATGTAATATTAAAGATTCCTTTTAATCTTCAGGATGAGACTAAATTAATTATCATCACATGCCTAGAATCCCTTCTCTGTAGGGTAACTAGAGACAAATAGAGAAAGGTCCCCCTGCTTTCCACAGATATGACAGAGTGGTCAACTAAAAAGAACTTCCAGTTTGGACTGCAGGCTGCCGAATCTGTCTTGAGTCTGTGATGCCAGCAGGAATGGAACATTCCCGCAGACCGAGAAGGACGATTGCCTTTTTGTCTCCTGCAAACACACTTTTCATCATCTTTCCAAGTTCACTTCTTAAACCAAGGTAGGGAGCACTGGGAAATGAGCTCCCTGTCAGCATCCCATCCTTTTGAACTTGAAAAATCTCAGGCCTGAAAAAAAGGTGAAGAAGATAGAACTTACTCATCCCTCTCTTGGAGGCTCTTCACGTCAGTTTTAACAATGCGAAGATGAGGATGTTGTGAGAATTTAAAATCAATAATGTCAGAAAACTCTAAACATGTACAACTAAACAGAGGAGGACATATGATACAC